CTTTTGAAGCTCTGAGCCCATTGTTAAGCAAAGGGTGTAGTCTACGTATAGCGAACGCTTCTTTAAACAATAGGATAGATCAGTTTCGGGAGCTGTCAATAGTGTCAGTACTAGAAAATATTAAAACTAATGTATTACTTACACTACAGACGACATTATCATTTTCAAGTATACCCTGTAATCCTAAAACATACTGGAATGCCTAACATTTTTTAACATGATCAAATATAACACTATCAGATCGTGAAGAATGTTCTTTAAGTCTAGTTATTAAGCACCTATCTGCCTTACCGATATAATCACTGTTGCAGCCTGGACATTTAAAATGATAGACATGTAACAGAACTTCTGTACTCCTTAGGGGTTTGATCCTTAGTAGATATAAAATGAGAAACATTTTCATACTGCTATAAAGTTATGAATTTTGCCTCTTTAATTAAGTGTTTCTTTACCTTATTTAAACATCTACGTAAAATGAACTCACCTGGTTTTCCTAGATAAGGCAATCAAACCAAATCTTAATCAGGCTATTATCAGTAGGCCTATGTATACATTTAGGTTCATTTAATTTCTTAAGTACATTGTTAACAACTTTTAAAGAGTACCCATTCTAAGACATAAACTTCCTGATGTTACTAAGCTCTGTTTGAAGTTTAGCAGGAGTACACAATCTGTGGGCTGTAGAAAATAAACTACGAATCCATGAGATCTTATGGTTCCATGGAGCAAAGCTATCATAATGGACATATTGACCTGTTATTGTGTATTTTTTTCGATATATACTCATGCTTCCTACACTGTTGTTAAATTGTAAATCCAGAAAGTGCACTGTGTCATTGTTTTCAAATGATTCAAAAGTAAAATGTATCTGTCTATGAAAAGCATTGAAGTAGCTTAGAATTTGCGGGAAATCATTGGGCTTAGCTAATACTAGCGTGTCGTCAACAAAACGAGTATAAAACTTAATAGTACCTGATTCAATAAGTTTAGGAACAATAGACTTTTCTAGTTCAGTCATTAAAATATTGGCTAAAACTGGGCCAAGAGGCGAACCCATTGATTTGTTTATAAAATTCATTATTACATGTAAATACAGTTTTAGTACAGCAATCTGTAAGTAGTTTCCTCAGCGAATTTTTCTTAAGGTTAGTAGATATCAGTTTCTTATTGTAAATTAAACCCTACCAAGAATTATATTAATTACCTTAGTAAGGGGAACATTTGTAAACAGAGATTCAACATCAATAGATACAAATCGGTAACCTAAATTATGTAAATTGTTTAGAATAGCTTTACTGCGGTCAGCAGCATCAAAAGTCTCTTTAAGGACAAAATAATTATCCGTTAGAGGGCCTAATATGTTTGATAAGAACATAGCTACTGAATAATAACAAGTACCGGTCGTGTCAATAATATGTCTTAGGGGTGGAATATTATCAAAATCTTTATGTAATTTAGGTAGTCCATGGGCTCTAGCAGGCATGGTTGATACTGGACGAATTTCTTTGTATTCAGTTTCAGTTAGTTCATTTCTATTAAATAGTGTCCGGTAGGCTTGTAAGGAGTTAAGCTGCGTGGTTAATGAACAGTTAGATAGTTTCTTAAACTTAGTTGAATCAGAGAACAAGTTCGTCATAGATTTGATATAATCAGTTTTCTTCATTATCGCAACACCATTTCCTTTATCAGGTTTAAGAATTACATACTTATTACGTAAGATTTTTAATGTATTAATACGTTTAGCATCACAATTTAAATTTCGGTTATCAAAGTCAAGAAAGTTACATGTCATTGCACGAATTGTGTTCTTAATTTTCTCACGTTTACTGAATGATTTAGGTAGAGCATGCGGCATTATTAAGTTGTTCCGAAATTGATTCAGCATAAACAAACATATCAGAGTCCTTAGGTCGTGTAGCTAATCCATTACGGATACCAAATGTTAAGACAGATTCTTCTTCCTTAGATAATGTTTCGCCAGTTAAGTTAGTAATTATATGGTTAGGGTTCTTACACGTTCCATTGATTATTGCATGTTCACGTTTAAGGTTCTTAAAGTTACGTCCATGGCGGTAAGATACCTTACGCATTTCCTTACCTACAGTAGTCCTAACATGATGCCTAATTACAAAACCAAGTTTTTCGTCAAAGTTTAAGAAGAAAATTATTATTAAGTTACGCACATAAGTTAAAGTCGATCGGGAGAAAAGGCATTTTATACTTGTTACTATTTAGCCTAGTTGTTGCTTGTATAGCGCTTCTATTTTAAGTTTTTCCCTGGTTATTGGTTTCACATGCTGAAATATTCGTGTAGTAGCAGGGAATCCCACCAGGTACAAATTTTTACACCTGTGTGTAGAGAAGCAATACACCTGTGTGTAGAGAAGCTTAAGGATGCAAGCGAAATGCACAGCGAGGAATTAAAAATCCGACCTCAAGGTTCAGAAAACAAACCGTTCCCTCTGAGCCAAACCACCTCTAAAGTTTTGTAACTTTTTGTGCATAGAAATAAAAGCAAGAGCAATTTAAGTATTCGTTTGACCATTGAATATCAAGTTTTTGCTATTATATAGTAGTTGCACATTGGCTGCAACGCGACGCCCGTTGTTTGACATACGGCCAAAGGTTATCGACAAAATCTCCTGCGAATGGACTTCTGTACCTGGGGGCCTCTGTGAAACACAACGACCAACATAGACAACACAAACACTAATAGATTACATATAAAACGACTTTATTGAACAAATACAGCACCAAACATCAAAGGTCGTGCAATATGTACCGCGAAGCTACACTGTCTCAGTTTTTTTATTCACTATAAACAGACGAAATGGGAGAACGTCTTAACATCGATGCATCTGACAATAAACCTAAAGGACATTATTACGGTGAACCCAAAAAATATGACCCAACTTTCGATGGACCAACTTCTAACAGGAGTTGTACAGATATTATTTGCTGTTTTGTGTTCGTTTTGTTCATTGTTGGCCTCGGATTGATCAGTGCCATTGGGTTCCAGAGAGGTAATAAGGAAATATATATTTATCCAACAGATTACTTAGGTCAAGTATGTGGGATGTCAGAATCTGTAGTAGACAAACCCTATCTATTCTTTTTTGACTACCTGGTGTGTTTGAATGAGGTAAAACCTCCTAAACCAGACTGCACCACATCGCTGCAAGTATGCGTTGACGAATGCCCAAAGGAAAACTATGCCATCGAAGCTCGATACTCCAAAAAATTAGATGATCCGAACGTCGATGTCAATTCCATCGATTGGAATGATTTCATTTGTATCTATGGATTAAATGCAAAAGATGAAGTAAATAAGTCTGATGCCACCATAAAGGACCTTTTGAATGACAATAAATGTGCAAACTTTTACACAAAAAGTGATGTGTTTACCAGTCGCTGTTATCCCAAATTCTTAGTTTCTGACACGTTATCAGAAAAGAACACCACACCGAATAATCGACAAATAACCGAAGAAGATCGCGCTGTCGCATATGACCTGCTAAACCTTCTTCAAAGCTATGAACGTTTTAATAACACAGTCGAGGAATTCATAGAAACGTGGCCGTATATGGTAGCTGGTATTACGATATCAATGTTCGCTTGTCTGCTTTACATTGTTTTACTGCGCAGGATTGCAGCCATTATGGTTTGGAGTAGCCTCGTATGGTTGTATGCACTTTTAGGGTACGGAACCTACTTCTGTTGGAATGAACGGAACTGCATAAGAAATCATGAATCTGATTGTACTTCAGATAGATCTTCATTGGATTATAACGAACTTGTGAGCTACCTAAAAATGGAGAGAATCTGGTATATATCAGCTATTATAATGAGTACAATATTACCAATTCTCACCCTAGTTGTGTTATTACTAATCAAGAATATTCGCATTGCAATTGCTTTAATCAAAGAAGCAAGTACAGCAGTTTCATCAGTACATTTTTCTCTCTTGTGGCCTATCATCCCGTTCATCATGCAGCTAGCCTTTCTAACATTTTGGGCATTTAGCGTAATCTTCATAGCATCCATTGTGGAACCACCATACCAGATAGTTAACTCGGATTCAACCGACGAGTATACAGACGGTGCAAGTTGTAAGCCCACTGTAACTCCTCGTCGACGTTTCCGATTGTTGTTGATAGCAGAGGTGTGCCAACGTTAAATTATTTTTGGGCGCCAATCTTGTTCATGGCACTAGCCACGTACATCGTTGCAGACAGCTTCTTTGACGTGTATGATATGGCGATCGATACATTGTTTCTGTGCTTCCTTGAAGACTTAGAGCGACACGATGGAACACCAGAGAAGCCTTACTACATGTCAAAACAACTGATGCATATACTTGGAGTAAAAAAACAAAAAGAAAATGAATGGATGTTGTCACTCACTTAACATCATTGTTTAGAATTATTTAGTGTTTTGTTAACAGCTATCCTAAACTAAGTTCTGCTGAACCTAGTGGAGGAATTTACAGATTGCTCTACTTATGTGCATAAACTATAACACCTACATGAACTTTATGTTACTTCATTATTTCTGGTGCTTCATTATGCTTCTGGTGCTTAGAAAATAGTATGCGGTACATAAAACCCTTGGGGGTCCGCGAAATATAATTGGGGTCCGCCAAAAAATGGTCCGCAGGGTGTCCACTAAACAAAAGTTGTGGTTTGCTAGATGCAGGGCTTCCGGAACGCCGCCCTCAGCGGCGTGTGCGAAGCACAACTCAAAGTCAGAAGTGGAACGTGAAATTTGGATATCGTTTTGCAGTCAGATTTACGAGAAAAACTTCAGCTACCCGTAATTCTCGACTGAGACGTCAGTGGGAGCTGTAATTTGTATGGCAAGGGGATTGTGCTACCCCTTAATTCGTATTATGCAATTTACGCCACAGAACTCGTAGTTATTAATATTATTGTTATAATAGAAATTTTTTATTTTTTGGTGACGTGAAACTCACAATATAATTAACATGCACACGTCATAAGATTACATCACCTTTTCCTGGTAAGACAAACTTTCCTGGCGTGCTTTTTTTCATGGATAAACACCACTGCTTTGCAGATGGATGCCTCCCAGATGTTCATGTAACATTAGCATATTGTTAGCTAACCAGCTGCGTGTATTGGGAAGAGGGAACTTCGAAATAATTGTCTCAATATCTTCTCACCGTACTTTAGCTTACACTTGTGCATGGAATACCTGCAGCACTTAAAATGTAAAATAATCAATTCACTACCTGACAAACACCGAACTTTATTCATATGCATTACATAAATAGTTGCTGTACTCTTACATTACTGGCGCATCGTAACGACCAACTGACTGCAGACCATTTCCGGTCACACATTACTCTCTATAACGCAGCACCCCTAGTTCCGTCACCTCTGGATTTGTAAATTGTTTTAACTGGTGTTGCAATTCAATTCCAATATTTTATTGCTGAATCTTTTATATTTGATTTTTAAGTATGCTTCATGTGAAGGTGTTTAGTGTAGGACAACCACCTGTTTGAATTACCTTCAATTACCTATTAAATAAGTGGATAAATAGGCTGCTAATTGCCTTATAACACCATATTTTACTGTTGTGGATGAAGGTCGTTTATTTGCTCAAAAATAATTTCTTCTGAAAATGCTGTTGTTTACAGTCTTTCATCATTTTTTTAAAAAAAGGTGCATTTTTAAGCTTAATCTCTTGATATATATCTCCCATTTGCAGATAAAATAATAATAGGCCTATTTATTATTATTATTATTATTATTATTATTATATATATATATAATGATAATAATAATAGTAATAATAATAATAATAATAATAATAATAATAATAATAATAATAATAATAATAATAATAATAATAATAATTTAGTTTTTCTTTTTTTCTTTCTCTCTCTTTTGTGGGAGCAACCCACCTTTATTCTCTTTTTCCAGTATACATTTCATACAACACATGTTCTTGTTGTAGCCTATGTACAGTATTTACATTGATTCATACATAAACACTCATACATGCATATACATATATAATTATGTACATGCACATTATATAAACATTTACATATTTAGTAAGTAAAATTGGTTTAGAGAACATTAGGTTTACAGTTTATTCAGCATATACTAAACCTGTTTTATTATTTTCCCTTAGTGGTTTTAATATAGAATATATAAAAAAAGCAATTTGTTTTAAAATGTACATATTATACAGACGCATTAAATCTTAAAATAAACTATATACGTTATGCTTTTCACATTTTTGTGTATCTTACATGGTAAAGCTCAACTGCACTGGACAATTTAGATTAAAAATATATAAATATGATAATTAAATCATTACTAAAAAACTACAAAAGTTTTTTGTCTCGATAAAAAAAATAAAAAACATTTGATTTGACCTAAGTAAATATTAAGGTAAGATATACATATAGACATGATATATTTATATTTCGACCTGGGTCATCAGAGATGGCTTCAGACATTTTTTCGAGGTGAGTGAGGTCCCAACCAAGGGATTGTCTAGATCTGTCCTCGTTCCTTCGGGGTTCCTGGACTAAAATCCCTGGAGCAGTTCATTGGAAGAGGTTTAATGGTTTAGGATGGTCCGAAATTGTGCTCTAGCCTACAATGTTATCGATTGGAAAATCAAAAGCGGATGACGGGGTGTCGATGCTTGTCCGACAAGGGAAAAAATTTCATTCCTGAACCAACCACCCCACCACCCCACCCCCTCCTCTCAAAAAAAAAATACAGACACTGCATACACTTCGCGTAAAAGGTGCCCTCGATAAGCCTAATCTAACCTTCGGTTTCGTAATACCTACATACAACATAGTTAGTATTATTTCTTGTTGACTTATATTTTCGTCAAAGGAAGACGCTTCTACAAGTCACCAGTTACAAACGTAAAAAGCAGGCCTATACTAATAAAGAATTGACATGTCAGGATCGTTATATATTTAGTAGGCATGGATGGACGGAAAATACAATCCTAAATCGAAAGAGTTGAACTGTGCGTGAATTAAAGTCAAAAACAAATGCTTAAAATTTGTTTTCAAATAGGCCTAGTTTTCCAGAGGGCGTTTGTTGGATTAATACTATTCACATTTGACAAAATTAACATTCTAAAAGTTCTAAAATATATAGGCCTATACACAATTATGAAAAATTAAAAATATATATTAAGGTAATTTAAAAATAAATGTACGCACGCACTACGTTCGTGACGGGATATGTACGTTCTAATGTCGAATTGTCTTGTTTAGATATATTGTTTTACTTAAAAATTAAATGAACGAAAACAGGTATAGGTCTATTCAGTATATTTTGAATAAAAGTAAAACAACAAAAAGGTACTAGGAGAAAATTATTCGATATATTGCTTTACTTAAATATAATAATAAATTTAATAATAATAAATTTATGTTTATATAGCGCAGAATGCTAAACCTCTATGCGCTTTACATTAAAAGCAAAAACAGATACAGAATTAACAGATAACATTATAAAACAGTGAGCGAAAAGCTTTTGCCACCAAAACAAAAAATAGCTTAATTTTATGATTAATTTATATATATACTGTCTCTTATACACTTATTTTTAATTTTTTATTTTATTAAATATCAACAACGTTTTTATCTCAATTACCTCCTCATTCCATTTTCTTTATTATTATATTTTATTTTAGATTTCTCATGAATCAAAAAATCCATGAACAAAAATACAGAATATATTTCGAATAAAAGTAAAACAATAAAAATGTACTAGGAAAAAATGTAATGAATTAATTAAAAATAAATCAATACATTATAAGAAAAATTAAAACAAAATTTATCGTTTAGGCATAGGTAGCGTTCGACTGTGTAAAGGATTCCAGAAACGAAAAACTGGGAGAAAATTCACCCTAGATATATTATGGTAAGGCCTATTAATCTTAGATTCCATAATTATTATGTTCTATACATCAGTATAATTGTTACAGTTATCGTCAGTTTATTCATCATTATCACCACCCCACCAAAATCACCATCATTATCTCCTTAACCATCATAATTATAATCGTCTTCATCATCATCATCATTCTCATCATTATCTCCATCATCATTATAATTATCATAATCATCATCATTATTATCATCTTCATCACTATCAATGTATCACCTTTATTATCATCATCATCATCATAATCACCATCATTATTATCATAATATTCAGAGAATATAAACGGATGGATTATCTAATGTAAAGATGTTTTTATAGTGTTACACAATCACTTGGTATTTTACTGTTTATTGTACCTTTCTTAATAACTAAGCTGGATGGATTAACCTTTGACAAACGGACAGTGAAAAATTTAAGAAATCATCATTTATATTATTTATTCATTCGGGAAAGCAATCACAACGTCACAAAACAATTCAAAGCACACGTTTACATAATATATAAATAGTATTAATTATCAAATAAAATGCGTAATAACGATTACCCCCTAAATACGCACATAAGATAATGTTTACTTTTATACGGCTTACTTATAGGCTTACCGCAATTGTTACTATAATTAGTGTACTGTTATAATTGATAATGGAAGTACTTTTGTTTTTGTTTTTGTTTTGTTTTGTTGTTGTTGTTTTTTTTTTTTTTTTTTTTCTTTTACTTTTTTTTTTGTTTTTTTTTTTTTGGACTGACTGCATAATGTTGACGCATGGTTTATCGTCTTCAAGTTTATCGAACGAATATTTCGACGTGTATAATTTATAGGCTGCCATTATCCAGCACATTTATCTGCATTTTGCGGAAAATATATAGGCATTCTCTAAAATTACTCAAGACACTTCCTAAGACGCTGTTGTGCTACAGCTAGAAAGCTGAAAATCTTAACTTGATTTAGCTGAATGAGACTTGGAGAAAAATGTACAGAAAAATTTAGTTATTCAAAAACAAATAAAACAATGGAATGGGAATTAAATATCTTCAACCAAGATGACAATCATTTTTTAAAAATGTTTTTCATTGTGGTCCTGGGTATAACGAGAGAAAGATCAATATAATTTTATCAACATTATCGTCATCATTATTACCTTCATCGTAATTATTATTAATATCATCATCATCATCATCACATCTGGAAAACCATCAATACGCGGATAAAAATAAGCCTATTCTT